GCAATAGACTATGGCAATCCCTGAAGCCTGAAACAGCTGATTGTTGGGAGGCCAATCCAGCTAACAATCAGCTGCTTGCACTAATCAGGCTGTGCTGAAACTGAAACAAGCTGTTTGCTGTGAGGGGGCAAATTGTTGGAAGGCAGAGGCAGATTTTTTTTTCTTGTTTTCCTCTCCAAAAGCTAGGTGCATCTTATACTTTGGAGCATCTTATACTCTGAAAAATATGGTAGCTTGTTTCTGGAGGGAACACAGATTTCTCCTAGAGTGAAAGAACAGGAGAAGGTATTGGAAATATAAGAACAGTTCACTGCCATCCTTTCCCTTGTTCCAACCTCATACTCAGATGGCTGAGTGATGGATAGCCACAATTGAGAAAGGGGTCCCTTGATCTGAACAAAATGGAATGTAGGAAGCCAACCAGGAACAGACTTGCCATGGCCGGGGGAGGAACTCCTGGGGAAATAAAGCACAGCCCTTCAACCCCCAAAGGCAAGGCAAGGAAGAACTTTTCAACAACAACAACAACAACAACAACAATAACAATAATCTTTAGAATTCCAATAAGAACTATGGAAATGGTACAAATTACCTACATCCTAATTCTTTCACCTTTTTCTTGCTTTACAACTCAGACTACGACCATTGTGAAATATGCAAGGAAAAAGAATGTAATACATGGGCTTTGATTACTGTTCATTACTAGTAACCTATTTGGTAACCTGTTTACTATTCAGCAGTAACCTATTTCAATAATCTTGAGTAGACAACTTCAGTAACCTCAATAACCTATTAGCCATTCATTATGCTACTAGATGGAAAATGACTGTTATTTTATTCTATTTTAGCTCCTAAGTCGTTAATAGGTGAGTATTTCTAATTAACAATTAACTACCTAAAAACCAAATATGAATAGTCCTCTTTACAAAGGACCCTGACTTGGCTAACAACTATGTCAGGATTGTATTCACTGCACATGCTAAACTTGGTTCCTGAAAAAAGCCATGATTTGGATTCATGCATTACCGCAAATCATAAATAGTTCAAGTGTTTTGAATTCCCCTGAAATATCAAACCATAAAGATCTTCTAGGTCAGTGGTCACCAACCAGTGGGCCACTGGTGGTCTGTGAGAAAATTTTGGTGGTCTGCAGAGAAATGTCACCCCAGAGCATCTCCCAAAGCAATTCATCCAGGCTGCACAGGGCTACACCGCCCACATGGCCCGTGGGAACCTTCCCTGCCTACTCACTCCTTACCTGGCAAACTTGCCTGCTAAATTGCTACTTTTCCTTTTTCCAACCATCAGCTGTTCTGCTGTGTTGGGAGATTTAGTTTAACTAGTAAGCAGGAAATCATTGGATTTCTTGATTTCTGGTTATCTTTAGATCTTTTAAGCAGAGCCGAACCTTCCTTAGGACTGAAGCAGTGAAAACTCAGGTAGCCGATGGCAGAAACACAGATCTCTAAGTGAATCTGTGATTCTGTGAGCAACTCAATCTGCCTGCCTGCTTTGCCTGATTTTGCGTAAAAGTTGCTCCTTTTTTATAAAAAAAATCAATATTTATATAAATATTTATAATATTTACATACAAGCCATGCCCAGCCAGTCACATGACCACCAAGCCACACCCACAGAACCAGTTAAGAAATTTGAATCCCACCCCTGCCTCTGTGTGTTTGTGTATGTGTGTGTGTGGGGGGAGATTAGATCAGATCTCTCTCTCTCTCTCTCTGCCACCAACATCAGCAAGCCACCATCTGTCAAAATTCATATTAATGCTCCCCAGGATTTAAAATTATGAGTTTGGTGGTCCCTGAGGTCCAAAAGGTTGGCGATCCCTGTTGTAAGTGACGAGTAAGCCAGTTTATTTTGTACAAAGGCAACCTGTACTTCTTGAATTTACCTTCTTAAACATCTGTTGTTTAAGAACATTGCTGTCTCTTCCTCACCCATCTATGCCTTTCATAAGGGCATGCTGTGCTATGCCTATATTTCCACAAATTATAGATATGTGGGATTCTAATTTCTGAGGGTTTGGCATGACATTGTTCCCAAAATGTCAGACTTCATGGTTGTACTCAAGTAGGCTCTGGGGTTTGGGGTTTGTTAGTTCAGATACTAACATGTCTTCATTCAGCAAAAATATAATATGTCCAAATGTCCAAATACCATTATGGAGTATACTTAGCAAACTAATATCCTTGTAGCAGGCATCCAAATGGCAAGCTTAATTCTCCTGAAAAATCTTGATAACTTGCCTTGTCCTTGTTCCCAAGTACCTGCATTCAGAATAGGAATGAGCACATCAATGGGCAGTTTTTGCCAGTTTCAATATATTCAGTTCAATTTCTACAGTAGTTTGGATGTTCCTTTTCTTTATACAAACGAACAAAGATTTACATTTATTTCTGTTTGCACAGTTCTGTTAGTCCTGTACTTTTGATGGGGTTCCCTTTACATGCACACTTAGAGTACACATTAAATTCCACGTGTACCATGTTTTTTGCATGCAGTTTTTGAACCAAGAATTTTTTTGCACTTTCCTTGCACTTTCCAGAGAATGTACTGACTGCAGATCAAGCATAACTTAATAATTGTAGCATGATTCTCTGCATTCTTTAAAACAAAAGAAATATTATGTCTCAAATACTTAACATCTATATATTACTTCTAAATAAAAGGAGTGGGGGAAAAAGAGCCATTATATCTCTTTGTACTTCCTATTATGAAATCTTTATCACTACCCTAAAAGCCATTAAACAAAACTGTGATATCTGGATTTGCAGAAAGCTAATGTATTTCTACAAATTAAGACTGGAAATCTTGATAATTGTTTGTTATTTTGCTTGTTTGTTTAGCAGATTGGATATACCCAGACGGATGAACCAGGTTTCCAAGGAGTGCCCACTCATCGCTTTTTACCCTGCCACCCCAACCTTAATTAAGAATGAAGTTCACAAATCTCAGTAGTGTAATTTAGATATCAATTTTGAAAAGTTTGATTTTCCTACCTTTGTAACAGAAGGCAGTGGGCAGTGAGAATTGCCCTTTGCTATTCTGGAGGCAGAAGCTATGCTAAAATAAAATAAAATAATTGCATTTGCACCAGCATCGTTTCTTGTTTTTTAAAAAAACAAAAATAATGTTCTGGTTTAAAAAAACATAGCATTGAACGATGAGATGAACATTCAGTCTAACTCAGCTTTGGGAAATGGCACGACAGCTGGGCATGAGATAAATAGACATGATTAGAGTTGGATAGAGGACTTTTGGAAATTCCAGAGCAGAAGTTTAAAACAAGTCAAAAGGTATTGGTGTCATGGAAATTACATGTCCACAAGAATCAAAGAAAGCAAATAGGAAAACCCAATGAAACTGAACTGGAAAGGAATGAGGGTTCATTGTCCTGAGCATGAAGCAAGCTTCTGGTTCATTGATCCACGAGAGCTTTAATAAACAGTATTAAGTGACATGGTCACAAATCCAGACACAGGCAGTGGGATCAGCAGTCAACAACAGACTGTCATGTTCCTTATAATTCAACTATGGTACATTGCGATATTGGGAATTCTATGGTCTCAAAGAAGGGCAACCATTTTTGGAAAATTCCGCTCATATGTGGAGACCAACATGAATCTTATACACACTCTTGAGCCTTTGGAAAAGGTTGTAATTAATGGCAAGCAACTATGACACTTTGGCCAGGGAAATTACATCCCAATTAAGTACCGCTTTATAAAACCTTAGTAAGACCATACCTGGAATACATGACTTAGTAACTGTAGCATAAATACATATGAGCTGAGGTGATGCAGTGGTTAGAGTACAGCACTGCAGTCTACTTCTGCTGACTACCGGCTGCCAGCAGTTTGGCAGATCGAATCCCACCAGGCTCAAGGTTGACTCAGCCTTCCATCCTTCCGAGGTGGGTCAAATGAGAACCCAGATTGTTGGGGGCAACAGGCTGATGCTGTAAATTGCTTAGAGAAGGCTATAAAGCATTGTGAAATGGTATATAAGTTAAGTGCTATTGCTATCCAGTTTTGGTCAGCACATTTCAAAAAAGATGTTGAGGCTTTGGGGAAAGTGCAGAGCAGAGCAACTAGGATGATTAAAGGCCTGGAAACTAAAACATATGAAGAACGGTTGCAGGAACTGGGTATGGCCAGTCTAGAGAAAAGAAGGACTAGGGGTGACATAATAGCAGTATTCCAATATTTTCCAAAGCACCAGAAGGCAAGATAAGAAACAAGGGATGGAAACTAATCCGGGAGAGAAGCAATCTGGAATTAAGGAGAATCTTCCTAACAGCGAGAACAATTAACCAGTGGAACAACTTGCCCCCAGAAGTTGTGAATGCTTCAACACCGGAAGGTTTTAAAAAGAAATTGGACAGCGACTTGTCTGAAATTGTATAGGGTTTCCCGCTTGAGCAGGGGGTTGGACTAGAAGACCTCCAAGGTCCCTTCCAGCTCTATTCTGGAAGGAAGCTAGGAAAAGGAAGGAAGGGAGGGAGGGAGTCTGAAAAAAAGGAAGGAGGGTGGGAGCTAGGGAGCTAGGGAAAGAAGGGAGGAAGATAGCTTGGAAAGGAAGGAAGGAAGGAAAGAAGGGAAGGAAGGAAGGAAGGAAGGAAGGGAATCTGAAAAAAGGAAGGAGAGAGGGAGCTAGGGAAAGAAGGGAGGAAGGTAGCTTGGAAAGGAAGGAAGAAAGGAAAGAAAGGAAAGAAGGGAAGG